AATTAATGGTAGTCAGAATAATTTAGGCGATTATATGCTTGAATGGATATTATATGCTTGAATTTTCAATTGATTGACATTCTTTTTTATCTGTAATTCAAACATTTGAAATTCCCTTACATTCACAGTAAAATTTGAAATTTCATGATTTTATTCCCTCAAAATCGGATTCAATATTAATGTCGTGTGGAACATTGACTTTTTGAATATTTTTGAAGGAATTGATTCTTTGTAGCCTATGAACCATTCCAGAGTAAAAAGTTTTCCGAAAAGTGTTCTGGATATTTTGCAATAACTGATTAAAAATGCATCAATTTTGAACACTTTTTTGGGGTCATGACGTCAACTCACCGGAATCAAGTTCCCCTTGCGACTACTCGCAGCGTTAGTGAGTTATTCTAGCCTCTCAAAGTGCGAGGCGTTCAACCAAAACGAATCGAGGGGGTTATATTTGAAAAAATTATTAAAAGTGGATAAAAAAATATATTGGCAGTAACAAATGAAATTTGTGCTGAAACATGATTTGCAAAAGGCGTGCTCGGGGAATTTACCAACGGTAGACGTGACTATGTTGATAGATTTTATGGGTTTAAATCTGTGTCAAAGTGTCGAAAGTCGTGGTTGTATAATTTTCACTGTTGTATTTTTACATCCTGGTACAAAACAATATTTATAAGGAACTTTCATCACTCGATCCGGTTTTTCGGACATTTTAGAGCCAAATACATGTGCAGAGTATTTTCCTAGATTTCATCAGTTGTACTCAACCGCTTGATGGCGCCACGCGAAAATTTTGGCCTCCGGTGAGTTGACGTCACAGGCCTTTCCAGAACGTTAAAAAATGCAATTTTAAAAGCAAATAAATAATTATGAAACTATTCTCCGTGTGTTTCTTTATTAAATGTGGGTTCTTGAGGGCATATATTTGAGGAAAAAAAAATTTTAAACTTGCAAATTCCCTATTATTCGTGTCAAATTACGTCCAAACAAAATTTGAAGAAATCTAAATTAAAATTGTTCAGAAACGAAAGTTTGTTTTCTTTTTTTTGTATTATTATTCTATTGAAAAAAATTACTTGGAGGGGAGGAATATAGCATATAGAATATCACCGGAAGAAAGGAGAATGAGGAGAAATACGCTGAAAATTACGAAAGATAGTTTTCAACTCCATCTTTGCCTCGTTTCGACTCAATGTCCGCCTCACAATTTCTGATCGCCTGTTCTCCGTGCTACGCACTTTATGCCCGCGCAACGGCATAAATCAGCGCGGGCGCATAACCGCCCGCCTCGCTTCCTCAATACCCACATCCTCAACCCAGAATGAGAGGTTGCACTTACACACGGGCGCAAGGTAAATGCAAAATGTTTGGATTTTATCGTTGTTTTATTTTTCGTTTTCACTTCTATTCGGCTTTTTATCGGCTGTCTACGCAACTGAGAATGGAAACCAGAAGGGGAAGAGTATGGGGGGGGAGGAGGGGGGAAATAAAATAAGTGACGTGTGGGAATTTAGTGCGATAGTCGTGGTATTTGTGGGCACCGAGTGTCTTTATGTAGAAAAGGGGCTGTGGGCAAATGTAGAGGGAATGGAATCTTTATCGACAGGCAATGGGTAGCCGGGGAGGAGTCTTGCATTCATGCCAGCGAGACCACCCTAGTTCGCGCTGTTTCTATCATCGTGAACATATTGGATTTGTTGGGATGGAAATTGCCAATGCAATATCGATTGCACGAGGATTTCAATTCAATTCTTCATTGCAGGGAAATTTTATTTCATTTTTGTAACTCGTTGTTTTGGATTGTTATTCCAGGGGAGGAATTAGTTGGGGGGAGTGTGTGGAGAATTTATATTGAGTGGGATTTTTTTGACGAAATCCATCGGGGAGAATATTCAATTTAGTTAATTGTGGAAGTGGAATGACATGGGCTTCAAATCATGGAATGCTCATCATGTAACACATTGTATTGAGCGGATTATGTGCATTAATAAACATAATATTTCATGTTTTAGGTCGATACGAAATGTAGTATATCTTTTACACAATGGAGTATTTAAAATAATGAAGAAGCGAATTTTTATTCGCTTTAATTCTTCATTTCACAGGGATTTCATTGCATTTTTTTTGGTTCTGATTATTTTTTTGCCGGAAAAATTATTTAATTGGGGGAAATAGATAGAGAATTTATTTTGCAAATGATTTTTTTAGATGAAATCCCTTTAAAATAAGAATATTTGATTTATTTAACTGCAGAATAGAAATTTCTTGGGGTTGAAATCATTGAATGCTCATTTTGTAACGCAATATATTCGACGGAAGATGTTTTTTGTGGGTATTAATGAGCATAATTTTTTGTGGTTTGTGGTGATACGAAATGGATTATATCATAACACTTTTTTCCCATAAAAATTTTCCTAGGGGCATTTAAAATAGTGAAGGAGTGGATTTTATTCTACTTCTTTATTTAAAGGGGATTTTATTCCATTTTTTTTTTCTAATTATTTTTTGTGGGAAAAATTATTTAGTTGGGGGGAATATATAGAGAATTTATTTTGTAGATGATTTCTTAGAAGAAATTCCTTTAAAATAAGGATATTTAATTCATTTTATTTGAAATTTACTTGAAATCACTGAATTTCCCTCATATAACACGTTATATTCAACGGAAAAAGTTTTTTATGTGCATTAACAAACATAATATTTCGTGTTTTATGTCGATATAAAATGTATTACATCATGACACATTTTTTCCCATAAAAATTTTCCTGGAGGCATTTAAAATAGTGAAAGAGTGAACTTTAATTCAATTTTTCATTTCACGAAACTCTTATTCCATTTTTTTGGTGTCTGATTATTTTTTGGTGGAAAAAAGTAGTTGTAGTTGAATCTATAGAATATTCATACTCCATATGATTTTTAGATAAAATCCCTTTACAATAAGAACAATAAATTCATTTAATTACAGAATAAAAATTTCATGGGCTTGAAATCACTGAATTTTCCTCATGTAACACATTATATTCAACAGAAAATGGTTTTCGTGTGCATTAACAAACATAATATTTCATGTTTTATGTCGATACGAAGTGTATTGCATCACGACACATTTTTTCCCATAAAAAATTTCCTGGAGGTATTTAAAATAGTGAAGAAGCCCACGCGCAATTCCAAGGTGGGGGAAGGAAAGAAAAGTAGTAAAAAAGGGAGAGGGGGGGGAGGGAATGTATACAAGTGAGGTGGGGTCGCTACGGTTGTGGTCCGCCTGGGAAAAATTACTCAAGGAGGACGATCGAGGCAACGCATTGTAAGATTCGTATAACCGGGGAGGCCACGCTAGGCTGACCCTAGTCATTTCGAATCAACCATCCACCTCGCGGGTAATGAAATACTCGGACAGACTCTGCTGAGTGTACCTGTTACTCCGGGTAATCGTTCTACTCCACAAAACTGCGGAATTCATCTGGGAGATCTACATTAGTCGATGTTTGAGAGAGTTTTATGGAGATTTTGGAATTATTTTTATTTGTTGCAATTTTAAAATTGAATCGTGAATTAAATGGACATGTGAGAGAAGTTTTGAAGAAAATTTCTTGACATTTGCGATGGCAAATAATTTGCAGGAAATTGATTAGAGGTTTTTTTTCTGGAATAGAAGAGTGGGATAAGAATTTCCATGTTCAACTGTCAATATCTCGCGATCAAATGATGCAATTCGATCGACTCACGTCTCATTTTAAAGTTCGTAAAAGTACCTTCAAAATGAAAAAAAAATCACGAAATTCCACTCTGCCGTTCTCACGATATCAACGATTGAAGACAACTGTTTTATCTTACTCTTCCTTATTCAATGAAATTTCAATTTCCAGTTCTATACGACGATAAAAATTATTAAAAATTCAGAAAGCTATTTTTTTTCGTTCTGAATCTAGTCAAAACTCAGTAGAATAAATATCCAACATTCACGATATTCTTAAAAATGAAACAAAATGAAAATAAAATAAACTCCCAGAAATCTAATATTTTAACAATAATAACAATAATAATGACAATAATAATTGCCAATAAATTTCCAATGTCCAGTCATAAACAACAATGAAAATTATGAAACATTTAGAAAACTGATTTTCTGAATTCTCAATCTACTCAAACCTCAAATAAAAAGCGTCGAATATTCACAATCATTTTTAAAAAATGAAACAAAATGAAAAAAAAACAAATAAAAATAACAAACTGCCAGAACTTTAATATTTTATCAATAACAACAAAAATAATATGAATAATAACCGGCATTTCAAAATCTCCATAAAAACCTCGCTCTACTCTCAATTTCCCAAATAGAAACAATTCTTAAATTCACGAAAAGATTAATCTCTGCGCTGGAATTGAAGCGTAACCCCTCGAAAAAAAAATCGTGATCAAACAAAGTCAACAATCAACCTGGCGAATCCCCCCCCCCCCCTTTTTCCCCATCCAATGGTAAAGATGTTCAGCCATGCAGAAAGGGAACGAAATGTTTCGCGACACTCTTGACCAAACGTTGAAAAAAACGGAAAAAAAAAATGAGTAAAAGAGAATTATGAGCCTTTTGTTACCCTCAGTGTCCATCATCATCTTTTGAGACACGCGCATCCGTTTAATTGTGAAAACTAACGCATGGTGGGTAAATACGGAAATGAGTTCAAGGCATAAATGTCGTGGGAAGTGACAGCGAGAATAAAGGAGAGAAAAAAAAATTGGGCAAAACGTGGCAATAATTTCGTGAATGACGAAAAAGTTTTTTTTTCGTGTGATGATTGTGATTCGTAATGGCAATCGTAATCGCGATCGTCTTGTCGTATTGAATTGAACTGAACAAGGACTAACTTTTGGGTGGTATTGTCTCGGGATCCACCTTAAAGATGATGCAATTGACTCGTAACAAATTTGCAGAGGGTATCGTTGTATCGCACGATATTGTACCGCACGATATCCCCTAGGTTAAACATAATTGCGTGACTCACCCTCGGGACAGTGGCACTCGTACGTGAGTGGAGACAACTGACTACAAGATCCACCGTTCAAACATGGCGACGGATCACAGGGTATGTAGTTGCTCTCGCAGTTCTGGCCGGTGTATCCGCTTGTGCACATGCATCTGTGGATTGATTAAAAATTTTTGTTAAAAATTGTTGAGAAGAGAGAAAGAATTTCATCATATTACTGAACTGTAGAATTTTAATTTATTCATGGGAAAGTAGTGTCTCATATTAAGATACAAAAATACGTCAATTAAGACATTTTTTCCTGTTTTTTAAGACCTTTTTGGAGAAACCGGTAGGAGAGCGGTAAAATTATTTAAGTCGACTTCAGACATCGCCATAATCATAAATTTTAATTAAAGTTAAATTTTGAATAAGTCAATTGTTAATATAACTCAGCAATTTTTCAATTATTAAATTAATCATCAATTGGAATATTCAAATTCCGAATTATTTTATCAATCAATAGTAAAGTTCGGAAAATTGACGATTATTTGACGAATCGAAAAATGATTTTATGACATTTAGAAATATTTACACAATAGTTAATTAACAATTCCAATTGTCAATTATTTAGTTAATAATCAATTGAAAAAATTTCAATTGCCAATTATTATATTGTTTTTCAAATTTCAATGAAGATGAATAAATCTCAATTAATGTAACGTGCAACTACTCATAATATTACGAAATTAATTATTGATGCCGATGTATGGTCGACTTACCCCTTGGTTTCTGGGGAATATCTCCGAATCTAAGGGAGGTAGCGCAATTGTTGTCAGAACCTTTTTTGTAGCTCTTGATTCCCTCTACAAAAAAGTTTATGTCGAAAATTTCGCTGTCTCCCTTAGATTCCGAGATATTCATTGAAAACTGATCAACTGTCAAATTGACTTATATCGTTTTATCGTTTAGCTACTGAACTGTCTTAATTCAGAACATTATTTTTTCACGGTTATTATACTGTGAGATTTTACGGAAAAATTTCAGACTGAATGCTCACTGAATAATATAAACACATAACATTAAAAGATTCTGCGACTGCTCTCAAAGCGAGAGCTTGTCTTGATAAAAAAAAGTCCAAGTGCAGTAAATAGATAAAGCGTCTTTTATTTATTCATACAGCTTTCAATAAACCAAGAGGAATGAACAAATATGAAATGGGAATTCATCAATTGGGGACTTTAAATCTGAATTATGTAAAATGGGATGTGGATAAACAGGATGAGATTGAGTTGAATCAACAATGGGTGTCATTGTTTCAAGAATGTCGCGTGTCTAGAGAATCAGAGATATCGAGTTTCGCGCATAATATCCGCTGATAATGATGAGGTGGTTATGAGAGACGCTGAGGGTTTCTCAGAACTTGAAGTTTCGTTATTGACGTTTGGAATTTTTTATGAAGAAATCGGTTTTTATTTGGGAGTTTGGTGGATCATGAATTTGCATTTTTGGGAATTTGATGAAGACAATTATTGCTAATGTGATTCCTTGATGCAAATTTATCAGAAATTAAAGTTTAGTTATTGACGTTTTTTTTACGAAGGAATCGTTTTTTATTTAGGAATTTTTAGTTTCGAAGAAAAATGACTAGAATTTTTAGGATTTTAAGGATTCAGTCATTTTGTGGTAGACTTTCTTACAAATTGAGGTTTTTTATTTGACGTTTTGGTTCTTGCAGTGAAGGAACCGGTGTTTATTGATGAATTTTATGACTTATTTTTCGGAATTTTTGGGGAATTGATGACGACAATTATTGTTAAGGTATTCATTGATGAAAATTGAGCAGAAATTTGATGATTCGGTCATTGTGTTGTGAAGTTCACGAACACAATATTTATAAAATTGTAAAAACCACGCATTTTGTACGAGAATGAATAAATAATGTCATGTTGGAGCGCATTAATTCCTCCAAAATGTCCTCTCCATGAAATCACCAATTATTTACCGTGAAATTGAAGACAATTGAACAACATTGACGTCCGCTGTCAAAATACAATCACAACTTCAATTTTTAGTGAAAATCCAGTGGAATTTCGAATTTTGGAGCAACAGAAAAATAGAAATATCTCACTTTACTTGAACTTTCAATCAAAACATGAATATTTATTCCCAAATTACTCGGAATTTACGACTACTGAACATTCAGCGGTATCTTTACCTCAATTTCCCTGATTTCTATTAATTCTCATAGAATAATTGAATTAAAATTGACAATTTCCATTAATTTTTCCACTAAAACACGAATTTTCAGTACCAAAACCCCTTGAAAATCCCCCGGAGCTGATGCTTGATCAAAATGTTCAAAAACTACCAAAAATTTCAGACCAAAATCTGGATTTTAATTACATAAAAAATCCTTTCTCATTTCATGAAGCTGAAACTAGCGGAAGATTCCAGAAGATTTGTCTCAGGCGAATCTAGCGGTGTACAAATGTTTTAAAGTAATCTACAAACTTTTTCGGACCCAAAAAACATTTGTAAATATGATTATTTGACTCTCCAACACTTAAATATCCCCTAAATTGAATTTTCCGCTCACGAATATTTTGCCAATTTAATCTTCATACTAAAACACGAATTTTCAGTACCAAAATCCCATGAAAATCCCCCGGAGCTGACGCTTGATCAAAACGTTCAAAAACTATCAAAAATTTCAGACCAAAATCTGGATTTTAATTACATAGGAGAGGGTGGGGTAAAACGGGCACTTTAGACTTTTTTTTATTATTCATAACTCAAAAACAAATTGATCAATTGAGCTCAGTTTAGGCTCGTCACAAAGAGAAAGAATTGTTCTTTGTATTGAAGAAAAAAAATGGAATTTTATCAACATTTCAACCCCTCATTACCATTTAAAAAAGTCTAAAGTGTCCGTTTTACCCCAACCTCCCCTAAAAATCCTTTTTCATCTCGTTGAAAACTCAAGCCTCAAATTTTATGGAGTGGAAGCTAGCCGAAAATTCGTTTGCCGAAAATAGGANTTTCATCAATTCCGCACGAAATGCCGCTCACGAATACAATGCAATTCAATCAATTTCCACCAAAACATGACAAAACTCGACTTGTAAATATTCCAAACGAATTAAATCCACTTTGCCCTCACCCCCCCCCCAAACCCCGTTATTTTCTACCTACAACCACAATAACATAAACAACAATATCCAACCTCGCGGTGACAGCCGCCAACAGCACCAGGAATCCCCTCAAAACAATCATTTTCACATAAATTCGTGTTGCACGATAATCCCAAGGGCGTAGTCCTCATATTTCGCTATAAAAATCACTGGTAAACTCCATTCCCCAACGACCCAATGGCCAATCACTGGATGAACCCAACAACCTCGTAAACCACTGTATCCTCAACGCTCCGAAATAAAATATATCTCGCCAATCACTTCACAGAGCACAGAACCACCCTCAGAATATTGCACCACAGAACGATCAATCACAACTAAAAATAATAGAATTGCACCGCCGTACGTTCCCTTACCACAAACAATAATTTACATCTAACAATAATATCCGACAGATTATCACAGCTGCGTTGGAGCGAGTTGGCTCCTCGATCCCTCGAAATTGACACAACTCCCTCGAAATTGTTAATGTCCCAGGCCCCACCGTCACGTTCCCAATTGACGGGAAAATCGCCGCATTTGGTCGATCATCGGGGGGGCAAATTCACGATAAAATCGGGAAAACCGCGGGTTCGAGTGCCGATTTAATGAGCCTTTCTCGGTTAACTCTTGCTGCGGCGTTCCGTCGCGCTCATGCGACGGAGGTGCTACAGAGAGATGCTACAGTCCACAATCTCGAGGCAACCTAAACTCGACCAAATTGCCCTTATCCTGTGTTACGACGAATCAACGTGGTATCCATGACGGGGACAGAGCCACAAGCGAGGGATCGCTACTGCGCCAGGCGGTGCCGAATGACGATTTATCATCAGTCCTCAGTGGTTATTTTCACTCACAATTAAGCACTTCGGGTAATCCAAAAAACATAACGGGGAGTTAATTCCATTGACACTGTCAGTCGTTGGAAAATTCACTTTTGGTAATCCAAGAGACGGCGCAGGAACTTTCACTGGGGTTTTTAGTGTTTGAACAGTCACTGAGGGGTTTGGCGGGGGTAGAGTACTTGTTGATTGGTTTTTAGTCGCTTTTTTGGATTAATTGCCGGGAACAGCGGCGCGGGGGTTCTGCACGCTTTGACGCCTGGAGAGCAACTGGGGTTTACGTTCCCGCGCGCACCGCCGAGGGGGCGCAGCGGCGCTTCGGGCGTCTTCGGAGCGACCTCGGCTAAGGCCCAATCCCTCCCCGAGGCGTCGCGAGAGATGAGAATTCCGGGCGGAGGAGGGTCGCTGGCTCTCGCAGGCGAGATTATTTTTTTTGGGGGGCTCCGGCTCACTCCGACGCACTTGACGGGTCGGAGGGCTTCCGCTCGGGGTGGGGTTCTTGGGTTTTTAAGTAGCTCTACCCTTACGGTAAATTCAAGGATCATTGAAAACAAAAAAATTGCAGAAAACTCGATTAGATTCGGAATTCTAGGTTTTTTCTCAATTTAATTATCGTTTTGGTTTTTCAAAAAAGAAATGTTTTAAAATCAGGATTTAGCCCAGTGTCTTAGGTGAAAATCAACATTTCCATTGGAATCAAAGATTAAAATCTAATTTTTTTTTTATTAGGTGTGAAAAAATCAAGAATTTTTTTGACACCGTAAAAAATAATCCACCGTTGTGCAAACAAGTTTTATTACTTATTTGTAAGAGGGAAATGTTTGAAAAAATATCAATATTTTGCGAAATTTAATTTAGATAATATCTACTGGGTATGAATTTTTTAAAATTATTTCCATGCAATTTAGTTGAAAAATTCGTAACATTTGATATTTTGAAATACAAAATTCTTTGAAATTTTAGTTGAGTCTGTCGGGAATTAGAATTTTTAGTTTAAAAAATTATTGGAGTTTATAGTTTATAGTTTAAAAAAATTCTAAAAATTTTAGTTGCTTCTGCTCGGGGATGAGAATTTTTAGTTCAAAAAATTATTGGAGAGTTTCAAGTGAAATTTTCATTTCTTCAAAAAGTTTTCGGTATTAATTGTTAGAATATTAT